GATCTGGGTGTATTAAAGTGTGTAGTATAGGTTGTAAATGCATGGCTAACATTTTTGTGCATATCTTTAGGTCTACATTGATGAGCGATATTGGGCGATAACTGCCACACTCGGTTGGGTCTTTACCTGGTTTTGGTAACAGTGTAATATGTGCTTCTAGTGCCGATGTCGGGAGTGGGGCCGAATGGGTAAGAGCATTAAATGCCCTTAGATATGGTTCCGCCAAAAGCGTGGCGAATTGTTTGTAGTATTTGGCCATCAGGGCCTGGACTTTTGCCTAGCGGCGTTGATTTTATCGCACAGTTTAATTTGTCGAGGGTAATAGGCGTGTCTATGGAGCGGGCGACGGCTTCAGGGATTGTGTTTTTTTAGCCTAGTGGAGAGAAACCTGTCTATGCTGGTTGTAGCGGGGAAGAGTTGATAACTTTGTGCTCTTTCTCACAGAATGCCTGGATGCCCAAGCACAACCTGTAAAATATGAAGAATGGTGCCCATCTCCACTGGGGTATCTTCAGCACCTAGAAGACTCAAAGAACATCAGTATCTTGTCTATCATTCTGCAATTATTTTATATCCTGTCTTCAAAGTGAGTAGACTTGTGCACAAATGCATTTCAAGTGGGTTGAATGGATCAAATTCCTTTTAATCTACACCCAAACAAATTGATGCATCCTGGATTTACCCATGAAGTCTTATTCGTTGACCCATATGAAATGCATTTGTATACAAGTCTAAGAGTTAGTAGAGATGAAGTGTAATGGAAATAGGGTTGACTGATCTCTGTCCCACAGCGCAATCTGTCCCTTCTCCATGGATCCATGAACCACCACATCTTCTAGGCAGGTACAGATATCAATCTCTCTGTCAGTTCTTCTTCTTCATGCTCTTTTCTTAGGGGTCCTCAGGACAAGGGAAAGGCACAAAATTCATCAATTTATTTCCATCGATTACTAGCCCTTATCAACATTACATTAAACTTGGTGTGACACTCAATACAATACATAAAACAACATAAAATGGGGAATCACAGGCAATCAAATAACACAATGAAATGTAAATCAGTTGAGGAGGTAAAGTTAGGAGATTATGGACCATAAAAATGATATTCTATATGCTTTGCCATAACCAAAAATATAAATGTAATATGCAAATGGAATTCCAATTTTTAAGAATGCTTAATCTAAAATAGAGATAGTAGAGGCCTGTATCAATTGTCAGGTTTTTAAGCTTTTTCCATGGTTTGTTTGAGCAGGGCGTTCTTGACCTCTGGTCACTGTAAATATTTTGTATGCAGTGCTGCCATCAGAAATTTTAAGGCCCCTTAGACAGCTCAAGGGCTGCCCGCAACGAGTCTGTCCACAAGGCCTGCCTCGAGTCCACTAACAGGGCCCACTTCTGCACTGGAACGAGGAAAGTTGACTAAATCAATATATTATACATTGAAAACACCATGTATCTTTGAGATATATAGTCTATTCAGTTGTACATGGGAGCAATTTCTGGTAAGAGAATTTACTTATTTCAGGTTCAATGTAAGGGAATGCATTGAGTGTTTAAGGGATGCATACATTCAGTATATGTATATAGTGGACGAGTGTAAGTGTGTGTAATGCATTGTGTGTAGGGGATAGGGGCTACTCTATATTTTCTTATTAATTATTTTTGTTTTACTGAAACGTTTCCCCCTTGTCTGCTTCCTAACTCTGGCCAAGGAGGAAGGACACTACATAACCTGGTGGTCCAGTGGTACTCTAGATGCTCTCAGCCTTTACCTCTGCCAGGTGAAGGCTCTTCTTCCTAGCTCTGGCAGTATGTGATACTGGAGCATTGCCGATAGTTACCACGGAAAGCTGTAGCTTATAAGAGAGAGGACCTGCCAGAGGCGGAAGCTGAGAGTGTTCAGTTACCCACTCGCCATGCATGCCTGCCATGGCTCCGGGAGGGAGATCTTTAATTTAATTTACCTGTGGTTGTATATATTGATTCCCAACTTCTATCCATCCCTACTTTCTCCTGTCCCTCACTGGCTATCTCCTCATATAACACTACCCTCACCTTTGCTCTGGACGTTGCAGCCCCACTCCAAACATGCACCTTGAGGAGAACATGCCCTTAACCGTGGCACACTAAATCGACACGCTACCTACAGAGATGCTCCCGTTCTGCTGAATGCTGCTGGAGGAAGTCACGCACCCAGTCTGACTTCCTCCACTACAAATTCATGCTGCGTTCATACAGCACAGCCCTTGCCAAACAGTCATATTTTTCCTCCCTCGTTAGCTCATGCTCCCGCAATCCCTGATGTCTTTTTAATAAATTTAATTCCCTTCTTTGCCCTGCTGTGGCCACTCTCCAAACTAACCTTACAGCCGATAGTTTTGCATGCTACTTTACCGACAAGATTAAACAGCTAAGGAAATAATTCTTACCACCTTGCCCCTCTCCTTTCCCCTTTCTCAACCACACCTAGGTCATGCCTTTCCTACCCTTCAGACTTTCTCCCAGGCTACTGAACAAGATGTGGCTGCACTTCTCCTTTCCTCTCGACCCACCACTTGCCCGCTTGATCCTGTCCCGTCTCCCCTTATCAGATCTCTCTCCTCTTGTCTTGTGCCTTCCTTAACACACATCTTCAACTGCTCTCTCTCTTCTGGTGTTGTCCATCTTAAAAAACATATCTCTTGACCAGTCCTCCCCTTCTAACTATCGTCTAGGGATGTGCATGGGCAAAAAATTTGGTTCTGTCCAGCATTCCAAAATTAGCACTTCCGAAATTCGAGACTTCGGCAATTCGGGTAAGTGTAGGGTTAGGAGTAGGGTTAGGGTTGGGTTAGGAGTAGAGTTAGGGTCCATTCGGACCGAACTGAATTGCACATGTCTACTATCGTCCCATATCCCTGCTCCCTTTTTCCTCAATGCTTCTGGAAAGACTTGTCTTTACCCGTCTGACTTGGTTCCTCAATTCCAACTATCTCCTTGACCCTCTTCAGTCTTACTTCTGTCCCCTCCACTCTACTGAGACTGCTCTTATTGAAGTCACTAACGACCTAATCGCAGCTAAATCCAAAGGGCACTACGCTATACTAATTCTTCTTGACTTCCCTGCTGTCTTTGACACTGTTGACCATGTTCTCCTTCTCCAAACTCTTCAATCACACTGTCTCTGTGACACTGTCTCTTGGTTTTCCTCCTATCTCTCCCAACGCTCATTCAGTGTCTCCTTTTCTAATGATACCTCCTTCATTTGTCCTGTCTCTGTTGGAATCCCCCAAGGCTCTGTCCTTGGTCCCCTTCTATTTTCTCTTTATAGTGCCTCTCTTGGCAAACCTATTACATCATTTGGATTCCAATACTACCTGTATGCTGATGACACGCAGATATACTTCTCATCCCTGGACCTCTCCCCTGCCGTCCTGCAACGTGTCACTGCTTGCCTTTCTTCCATCTCTGCTTTTTGAAACTCAATCTCTTTAAAACTGAACTCCTTGTCTTTCCTCCTCCTAATACTGATCCCTCTCTTTCGCTCTCCCTTCAAGTGAGTAGTATCCACATCAGTCCATCCTTGCAAGCAGAAAAATATAATATCCACATTCAAGACAAAACAAGAAGATTGCCCATAAATGCTGATATAGTCTGGATAATGTGGAAAGCTAAACACAATGTTGATCTGTCTTAGAACCAAAAGTATAGGAGTCAGGGTAATTGCTAAAGCAAAGTTGCTTTTCTCTGGCTGAAAAATAACTCAATTAGGATACCTACAATCAGGGGCGTACCTAGAGCATTTGGCACCCGGGGCGGATCCTGTGCTTGGCACCCCCCATGCCTCACATTTGAACTTCACATCCAGTCTGCTACCAAATCCTGTAGATTCCACCTTAAAAACATAGCACGCATCCGCCCCTTTCTTACACAAGATGCTACTATGGAGCTTGTCCATGCTCTAGTAATCTCTCGCATGGATTATTGTAACTCTCTCCTAATTGGTCTTCCCACAAGTCGTATTGCCCTGCTACAGTCTGTAATGAATGCTGCAGCTAGACTGATTCTCCTCTCACACCTCCCCCGTCTGTCAGTCCTTACATTGGCTTCCTGTATCCTATAGGAGTCCATTCAAGGTATTAATCCACACATATAAAGCATTGACTAATTCTAGCCCCTCCTATATTTCTTCACTGATCCGCAGTTATGTCCCTTCTAGGTCTCTGTGCTCTACCCATTCTCCTGTCCGCTGCTCGCACCCATACAGCCAACTAAAGCTTGCAGGACTTCTCGCGGTGGCTCCTTTCCTTTGGAATAGCCTGCCTACGACCATCAAGCTCTCCCCTAGTCTTCAATCATTTAAAAAGTGCCTCAAAATCCATGTCTTTAGGAAAGCATGTGGCCTCCCAGAGTAACCTCTACCTCACATACCTGTCCGTTGCTCTCCCCTAAAGGGCAGCACTCTATTCTCCCCTCCAGATCTGCTTCACTCCACCTTGTTTGATTGCTACCTCCTGTCCTGTTGGGTTTTACTCCCCACCTCCTATAGACTGTAAGCTCGTGTGAGCAGGGCCCTCTTCAACCTATTGTTCCTGTAAGTTTTTGTAATTTGATAATATTGCAAAGCGCTACAGAATATGCTGGTGCTATATAAATACCAGTAATAATAATTTATATATATATATATATATATATATATATAGAGCGCTCCTTGATATTTAAGGTATTTTGCGCATTAGATAGATAGATCCAGCACACTCACTAAATACAATACAATACTAAACAGCTTTAAAGCTCACAAAATATAACAGTTATGTTTGAAACACCTTAAAAATAAATGTGAAAAATAATGGGTGTCATGCGCCAACATGTATTTCTGTACTATAGTCGGACTCTCTATTGGTTCATGCAGCAAGGACAGCTCTCTTTCATTCGCCTGGACACACCTTCTCTGTATAAAACCTTTGTTGCACCATTAAACAGGGAGTAAGCACTGAACGACAGGTTTGTTCCCAAAGCATGGTTAAAATGGTGGTGGTCTTGTCCGGGCAGAAAAATAAGTCCATGGCAAGTCTGAAGTTTTAGAGTGATCAATTACTACGTTCTGGGAAGGTCTCCAACTTTTCTAACAATGTATCACCGATCTTCACAGAAAATAATACAGTAATGTGTATTTAAACAACAATACATGTCTTTAGAAAACAGTCTGCGTAAATAAGACACATTGCTCTTGTTCTAAATTACATTTCAGTTACATACATTGTTATTTGTAAGTCACCTTAACTATATCAGCACAGCCACACTTCCATGCACACCAGTTGTGTATCCTGGTTTTGTGCTGCCCTAGGCAGGACAAAACTCAGGCGCTCCCCCCCGCCCCACCTTCTAAATACACACACACACACACACACATTCACTGACAGATACGCATACACTAGCTAACAGAAACACACACTCGCTAACAGAAACACACACTCACTCACTGATACACACTTACTAACAGACACACACTCACTAACAGACACACACACACACTAACAGACACACACTCACTCACATTAACACATTTGTTTTATTTAACCCCTCCAGCCTCCTTACCTTTGGGAATGCTGGGGGCGGGGGGTTCTCTTTCTCCCTGGGGGTCCAGTGGCAGCAGGGCGGGCGGCTGGCGAGGGAGCACTTCCCCTGAGCACTGCTCAGCTCCCTCACGCGCCGCCCGCAGAGTGAGGCTGGGAGCCGGAATATGACGTCATGCTCAGGGGAAGTGCTCCCTTGCCAGCGCCACTTGCCTGGCTTGTCAGTTAGATGCAAGGCTAACAAAACATTTGCCCTGGGCATTTGGGGGCGGCTTTTTTTGCCACCCCCTGGTTAAAGTTTGCCTCGCGGCTAAAACATTCCTAATGCACAGCCCTAAAATTAAAGTGTCCCTCTTTATCCATTTGAAGTGCTGTCTTTAAAAGTTTATGAGGGGGATATGAGTTAGTGCTGTCTTTAAAAGTTCCCTCCCCAGAATAACACATGCCTTCAATAGAAGGACCTGAGATTTATGCTGAAAAGGCAGTCAAATTGTATTATAGTTATCCTAGGTTAACTGCAACCCTTGGGGAGAAATTGCATGACTCCCCACTTTATCTCCACCAGGAGCCATTTTTGATATTTAAAATATGCGGACTTCCCATGCTCCTCCCCCCATCTCTATACAGGTAACACTGCGACTAA